TTAATCAGAAGTTAGTTTTAACAAAACGGTGTGGGACAATACAACACATGCTTTTCACATAAATATCTGGCTTAATAACATAATAATATAGCCAATAATAATATAAAAAAATAAAATTATATTGCATATCACAACTGTAGTAATGAATATTTAAGTATATAATTAAGTGTAAGTGTAAGTTAAGGAATGTGTATAATATAAACATGGATAGAGTCGTCAAACATTGATCTGGAAAAGATTAAGATTTTATTGCATACAATCGAATTGAAAATATCCTTCGGTAATTATGAAAAGAACAGGGTATAATCGGCCATGTAGTTGTTGTTGCAACCCGATTATATTTTATTATAAATTATATTGTATATTATAACTATAGTAATTAACATAATTAAGTATAGGCGTATGATTAGGAACTTGTATAATATAAACATGGATACAGTCATCAAACATCGATCTGGAAAAAATTAAGATTTTATTTAATACAGTCAAATTGAAAATACCTTCGGTAATTATGGAAAATATAGGGTATTATCATCCATCAATGGGCGCAGTGTCACGCATAACTAATGTTTGAGTTCATCAAATACTAATACTAATAAATATGGAGGTAAATTTCAAAACAATATTATTAAATGCAATCAGCAAAATATTTTGGTAATATATACAAAATAAGTTCTTTTGTACAAATTTTATTAAAAAAAAGTGAATAATCAACTAAAATGTATATTAATTGTATATTCTATAAATATACTGAAAATTTTTTGGTTCATTTAATAAAAAATTACAAGTTTAGTCCCTGCAAATATATCGGTTTTCGATTTAGTTATTCCGTCCCAGCAAATATTCTTTATGTATTACAACTTAGTTTTTTGTCATAATAAAAATCATTTTATTCATTCTTTTGAAATAAGACAGTTAACAAATTTATACAATAAAATAACAAACTGCTAGGTTTATAAATGAAAACTTTTCTTCAACTTTAAACTTTCATTCATTAAAGTTTAAACAGAAGGGATATGCGCGTGGATAAAAGTGACCGAACTGCAGTATGCTAAATCAATTTTTTTCATTGCCTTGAGCTATTATATATTTACAATATATAAGTACATTTATATACTTCATATAAAATGATGTCTCTTGGCAAACATAGCATAAGCTGATCCGAAATAAATCTATATATTTTTTCGACTTAGTTCTTGTTTTCGCTTCATCAGAAACGTCGGTTTTTGATTTACGGTTCAGTTTCGGTTCTACGACCTAATATATGGTGTAGTATTTTAACAGAACTAAAATGGTCTATCAAAAGAATTTTCAAACTGTTTTGGATTTTGTAATTATTATTACAAAAATTAATTTAATTATTAAATTCGAAAAAATTGTCAAAAACTTTTTACAATTGTTCACTTTGTGGTTAGTTTCACTTTTGAATAAAACACATCTTACATCTAAATTAATTAATACTTTTCTTTGCTGGAAGTTTACTCGTAATACCCTTTCCATACAGTTATACGTATGAAATTCAATGTATTTATATATTTAAAAATATATTTTTACCACAATTATTTTGTATGAATGCTAATAATCATAAATATAATATATAATATATAACAACATTCCAATTTTTTTATATCTAAAAATTTCAATTCTTCGAAATCTTCAAAAAAAATTGGTTAGTAGCAGATAATAATAAATATTTCAGTTGAATTTTTTTAAAGTTTTATTATTAAAACCATGAATTTTATCCAACATATTCGGAGTTGTTCCATTATTTGAGCACCCTGTTTGCTGTATATATAAGTTTTTTACTTTTTCTTATATTCATTGTTATTTTATTCTCTTATATTTTTCAGAAATATTGAACTGAAGAAACCGAAATAACTATTACAGTAAACATGAGTTTGTTTGCAAGAAGATGTTCTAATCGCAAGAAACTATTGTAAGTACTAGAAAATTTTATTATGTATATACAATTTGTAAATCAGGGTTTGAAAATTGAAGCGGTTTTATACTAAATTTATTATATTTTAAATTAAAGTTTTGGTTGCACACGTAAAAACTCAACAGATTCTAAAAGCAGAATAAAAACCAAAAATCTAAAGTTAAATTATTTAAAGTTTAAATATTTTTTAGCTAAATTTGTTGTTAATTTATATAAAAAGCAAGAACGGTATGATAATTTTTAATAGTAAGATTTTTTAATTTAATTCCTTCTAATTAAATTTTTTTTTAAAAGTTTGTTAACAAATCAGTTTAATATGTTTTTATAATTTTTATAAATCTTAAAATCCTACTTTTATGCCAGATTTTTGCATCTATAAATAGAAGGATTATTAATGTTAAAATCATAATTATTTTTAAAATACAATATATAATATAATAACATAAAAAATAATATTATAACATAATAATTAATTAATATTTTCAATTACTAAAATTTGTTATGTATGATTTAAACAAAAATTTTCCCATTTAACGGAATGTGGTATTAAGAAGTGTAGTTAAATCTTAAACTGAAGTGATATTTATAGAAAAAGATTTAAAATTTCAACTTAAAAATGTATTAATTTGTTTGATTGGAACAAAAAAACCGGCATTATTTACTAAATTGATAAAATATCACATAGCATATAAATCGCCTTAAAAGTTGGAATTCATATCAATCACATAAAAAAAACCTACTAGTCACTACTTAATATTTTGAGTTCACATTCTATTCATACGAGTAAGATCGTTATTTAACGGTTTATGTAAACTTTTCAATAAAAACAGTTTTTTAATTTTTATACGAAAACTCTTTATTTCAATATATAAGAAGAGTATATTTTTTTTCTCTTTAGTTGAAAAATTAATAACCTCGTTAATAATTTTAATATATATTAAAGAAAACACGAAAAAAAAATTTTTTTAATAAAATAATACCTTTTTTAGCATCTTTGTCGAAAGTTTTAAGGAAAATAATATTAAATGACGTTTAAATTAAGATGTAAGTTACTCGAAACTGAAAAAGTACTTTTTCAGACACGAAAATATAACAACGAATTGATTTTAAAAAAATTTTACCCATCTTCTTTCAATATACAAAGAACTTAAAAACTAGAACTAATAATCTGACCATAAGAGGAAATATTTTCCCATGCTACTATTGATCACTCTTATATAAATTTTTTATGATAATTTTATTTTTAATAAAACACGATGTCGAAAGTATATAATTTCGTCTATAAACGGTTTTTTTGGACTTTATCAACATGAAGGCGGGAATGTAGTTCTTCGATCAAAACAAAATAGTATCGACTGATATACAAACTCTATTCTATCCGAGAATAAAATGCAATCGTATGAAATGACTGCAATCATTTTTGAGATATATTATTTCATATGACTGCATTTTATTATCGAATAGAATTCCCTTTAATACTTTGTATATCAGTCGATACTATTTTGTTTGGATCGAAGAACTACACCAGCGTCTTTATGCTGATAAAGTCGGAACCAATCTCAGCTAATCCAACTAATTTCAACCAATGGATATTTAAATGACTAAAAATTGATGTAGGGCTTAACTTAAACCTAATATATGGCTTAATGAAACGTTCTTGATATGTTTAGGAAAAGCAATCTGTTTAATTTTGTTATTATAAAATATTTCCAACTATAATTTTATTTTGATTCATTTTCATACCCTGATTTAGGAATTAATATGAATAAATTTAATTAAACATATCTTTTTTAGGTTTAAAACAACTAAAATTATATATTACCAGAGATATTATTAAGTAATTTAGAATATTAACATAAAACAATCATTAGTAGCTGTAAACTTGCATTAAAATTTAAGACTATCTTTAAGGTATAAAGATAAATTTCATAATCTAAAGTAAAACGAATGAAAAACAAAAATAAAAAATTAACTAAGCCAACACGAAAAAAACACAAGACATGAACAGATAAAATAACACATCAAATCACGCACAGAATACGAGTATTGAACAGCAGAAAACAATCCTCACACACGAAACAATAAATTTTAAAACAAGAAAAAAACAAACAGGAAACCAAAATAAACTGAGCAAACAGACAAAATGGCACTGGGAAAATCCATTAAAATGTACCTGACAATTTTTGTAGCAACCACATGCATATACATGGTACTGTATCAGTATCACATATCACGACAACCCATAACATCACCCGAACTCTTAAAGGTAAGTCGTAACATCACTACTATCTTTCTCTACAATAAAGTCTCTATTTAAATTTTTTGTTTGGAAGAAAATTTAGAATAGTTTTTGTGTACTTTTCTATTCACATAGAGTATCTTGATAAAATTTGTTACGAATAAAATATTTTCCTTTGGTATTGGCACTGAATTTCAGTAAGTTTAACACTCACTAGCAAATTTATTTATTAGCAAAAATGCACAAAATTTAAGTTCTTGTATATAAGTTACAGACAATCACCACTTAAGATTAGTAGTTAAGTAATTTTCATATATTATTATTAAGTATGCTTTAGAATTAATATAAAACTTATGTTTCTCACACGTCCTCACTTTTTCACATGAGTTTTTATTATTCGAATATCAATCGCCATTTTGTGAATTATATTTGTTTTTACAGAGCAAAGATTCAAGTAATTTAGTTGGAACTGAGATAACAGCTGAAGAAACTGGAAACGTTAAACTTTTAAAAACAACATCCTTTTTAAACAGATATAATCTATTCTTATGGTCGCCAGTATCATTACTGACAAGTCAACAACGAAAGATCTCTACATCATCATTATCTCAGGCACCGGGCGTATCGGTGCCTGAAGTATCATTAACATCTCAAGTAACAGACACATCGATATCATCATTAGTATCATCTACAACAATAAAATTATCGTTAACATCAACATCAACATCATCATCATCATCATCATCATTATCGAATACAAGCATTTCATCAACAACATCATCTACGGATGAGAAACCTTCCATTTTGAATGTAGTAACACTTCAAAATTTAGACAATACGAATAATACTTTTGCAAATAATAAAAATAGTAACAATTATAATATGTATGTGAATTTCGAATCCAACAAGAACTTAAGAGCAAAATTAAAATTACATTCAGATACAAATAACACTAAAAGTGCTACAATAGCAACATCAACTACTAAAAACGCTACGATAACATCAGGTAAAACCATTGGAAAATCAGCCATTCAATCCGCAGCCTCAACAACACGTACAAGATTAACTACAGAAATACGAACAAAATCCACAAAAATTACAAACTCCTTTGTACCGGAAGTAGTGCCCGTAAATACCAAATATCATTTTTTTCTTAATTATTTTTTATTAGCTATTTTTATTTGCACTCCAATGACACTCTTATATATTTTGAGTTAGTTGCTTTTCCGTATAAAGTAGTGCAGAAATTGTAGTTGTTATAAATAAAATTCTTCAGTTTTATTTAATTTCTATTGATTTCTAACACTTCAATATTTTTAATAAAAGATGAGAAGACTCAACGATATGCAGACATCTGTATGCAATCTGGCCACGTTCTGATAAAAGGAAATCCAAAATTTTCATTGCGATACCCCGTAGGCCACTAGACCTAAGTGGATCCACTAGGGATAGCCGGTATAACCTAACCTAACCTATGACTTAAATAGTAAAACAAATGTCTTTACTTTATCGTTTTTGGAACTTCTATCAGTGCTACCATTTTTTTCCTTCATATTAAACCATTAACCCTTGTTTATTTGCAAGTTTCAAGACTTTGAATACTCAATAACCGTATATTAACTGTAAGAATATAAATAGAGGAATATCTTTTGTATAAACCATATATGATCATAGTAGGTTGTAAAGCCCAGAGAAAAGAGGTTAATTGCCCAATTAGCTAAAAAGTAAAATTAAGGCTTTGTCTTGTAAAAATGGGTAGAAATATTGAAAATCTCATAACCAACCTTATGAACACATTTATTTGATCGTCCATATGAACTTAACATGCTATGTATTAAAAATCCAGTCATTTAGTTGTTCAAATAATAATATTCTTAAGAAATTTGTGGCTAGCAAACATGGTTGTCAATTATAAAATAAAAACAATTTATTTAACTGTAATCTTGTATAATCTCGGAGTTTATGTGTTTCAATAAAATGAAAACACTTGTTTTTAGTTTAAAAAAAATTTGTTTTTAATTATAATCATTCTCAATTACAACATACTTATTCCAACGATTGTAGCCCATGTATCCCATCTCTGCAGTATCTTAAAAATGACAAGCGTTTGACTCAAACTATCAATCTCGCTGCTTTTTGACTTAGAAATGAAGCTATATGAAAATAAAGATATAGCTGTGAAAGATATGTGGTTTCACAGAACAGTGCCACAAGTCTCACAAAACGTCCTTTTTTGGCTTTGTTTCGCGAGAAACTTCCCTGGCGTACAATTTCACGTTTTGATGATGTGAATAGTAGTAGTCAATACTAAGATAATACCATTTGTCAGCACTGATCTTTTTGTTTGTTTATGGTTTATTTAAACAAAATCTCATATTCAATAAGCTTTAAAAACGTTCATCCAGAAAGTCCATAAAATACTTTTCATTGTTAGCTACTATGAAAATCGTTCCCTAATAAACAATTTTTAAAGTGTGAGTAGAGTTAAAATTAGGAACTGAATGTAACAAAGAGGCTGATTGTTACAAAAATTTGCAGCACATATAGTTTATTTGACTAATTTTAACGATGCTTTTTCAAGCTGCATGATCAGGACACTGTCTTTGTGAAATATGGTTGGTCCAGAAGTTTACAGCAATAATTTGGTTTTATTGTTTTACCAGTTTACAAAACTCTTTTTACATTTTTACATTTTTGGGGCACAAACTCGTTTCGGACTCGAAATACAGGGTTCGCACAACTTCTTAGTTTGATGTTTCAAGTCAAGTTCCTGATAGTAGACTTAACTTTTATCCATATTTACAAAAACAATTAGGCAGATCAGACCATTTTTTGCTTAAAGTTGTATTTTTATATATGTTACGAATATACTTAATCTAATAGAAGTAAATAATTTATTTAAAAATTATAAAAATGAGTGTGAATGTTACGCAATTTTTTGAATCTAAATGCTATAGTACAAGTATTTAGGGTCTGTCATATTTCTTGAGATATTCAAAAAAGTGGTAAATCATGTTCCCACAATCATATTAAAGAAAAATTTCATTCAAATATTTTGATCGTCTTCCAGTTGATAATATTCATATCTCTCAGATCTTGTCGAACACTGTCACTCCATCTCTTTCCCGGTCTTCTTTTTCTTCTCATCGTTCTAATTTCACTTTCGAATATTTTGGCTGCTGCTCTTTCTTCTGGTATTCGCACAAGGTGTCTTACCCACTTTTTATGTGATTATTGCGTTACCTTTCATCACTTGATCGAGTTCATCTTTATATTTTAAGCGATATTTTCCGTTTTCTTGCACTGCTCCAAATACTTTTCTCATAATCCTTCCTTCAAATACCGCCAATTTATTTGCTTCGGCATCAGGTTTCATTCCCATAAGTGACTACAGGCCGTATAATTGTTTTATGTAACAAACTTTTGGTTTTTCTCGTATATTTTTAGCAAGTAATTATTTAATTAACACAACAGTTTTTTTACATCAGAAAACAAAATTGATTTTGTTCTGCTGTTGTACAAACTCAATAGTTAGTGGTCAGAATTAGATTATGAAGACCTCTGAAACTATGTTTTTAGTAAGTGAGTCTCAAAACTTACTAAATAATAGCTAAATAATTACTAAATAATAATAAATAATATTGATTTGTTCAATAGAGTAATATTTTTCTTCTTCTTAGTTCCCTTCAAATTTTTTAAAAAAATATAAACAATTATAGTAAATGCACTTATTCTATAAAATTAAGATCTGTTAGACCTGTCTTGCGGTTTGCAGAATAAAACATGTTAAAATGTCATTATAATCATTTAAAACTTATTGCATAATTAATTTAGTTCTATCCTGTGAATAGGTTTGGATTTGATTTTCAATTGCTGTTTCCGGCTTGAGGTTTTGTTCTAACATTTTCCAAATTTACAGCCAAAATCAGGAAATGCTTTAGTATTTTCTTTTTCTGTTCAAATGTTAATTAGCTATTTGAAAGTTAATTTGTACAATGTTTCTCAAGTATGTGAAAAAACTTACATACTCTTCGCTTACTTCGATGCGATTCCAATTCTACGTTTTAATCGCATGACATATGTAAGTTAACACCCGCGTACCCCAAATCCGGCCCTGTGCTTAGTTTCATTAACGGAGCAATCATGCGATATTGTTCGAACGCATGGTTACTACCAAACGGGACATCCACTTGTTTGTCTGGAAAAGTCCCGTTTGGCTTCGGTAGCTCCCAACTTCGCAAAAGTTCGCTCGGTCTCTCCTGCTTAAGCTTCCGAAGAAGCAACATCAATTATTTCTAATTTAAATAAAAGAATATTTAACTTTTAATATTAAATTAACTAAAACAATATTTAACTTCTATATACTTTTGGTATCGTTTGCACTTACTTGGGTTCCGGTCCGAGTTAAGTCCATTATTATGTGAAATTCGCTAAATCAGATAGAAATTAGCAATATATAGATTTTTGGGAAGCTAATCCACATTGAATACTTCTAAATAATTATGTTAATAATTTTATAATATACGATATGCTCTTCATTTGATGTCATTATACAGCTCTGTGATTATAATTAAGATTTGCGTTTGAATTCATTAGCTTTGCTGTACATCTAATATAAAATTAAAATACATTTGATGATCTTTTAAGAAATCTCAAATATTTCTATGTGGATTTATGTAAATTCTGTGCTTTACAATAAGAAATTATTACTGCCATTTGAATCAACTACTTAAACAGATGACCTTCTATAATTTCCATGCATCAATTTGTATTGCGTTAGTCTACTGGCATTCTTTAAACAGTTGCATTCTAATTTTTTAATGCCGTCACACATCTGACATCTAATAGATTAGTTACATTTTGTAGTGAATTTAGTTTTTTAGGTCAATCGACTATTGTTATAACCATTTCACATTTAGTTCTCCATATACGAGCAAATATGCAATGCTGTGATTCCAAATTAAAATTTGCATGTGCTTAATTTAAAAATTGCGTACTGCATAAGATACAAATAACAAATGAATTTAGAAAATTTTATATAATTATTTAATGTAAATATTTGCTTTAGAACAAACTGCATGCGGTTAAATTAGCTTATTTATAACAACTTTAATAGCATGTATCTTTTGTTTGTTATAACAACTTTTATCTAAAATTTTTTTGATGTCAAATAATTGTTACTAAATGCACTAAAATTGTTCAAATCGTTTTAAAAATTTGTCTTTTAAATTTATTATATTAATTCAGATCATAATATGAATCAATTTATATAACAAAAATTAGGTTTGAAATAATTTTATTTAGATAAAGATATGATTTGTGAACGCAAATCATCTATTTTATTTATTCTGTTTATTTTTGGGAGAAATAACTGAATATATACTTTATTTCAATGAACCCTAGATACTTGTGTATACATATAGCATAAAATTGAACCGTTTTATATTTAACTTCACCTTTTAAATTTGATGTCTTGAGTGAATACTCAACATTTAAGATGCCTACCAAATGCTGTGCGTTATTGTACAGCCACTTCTTATTTCCCTTCTACTCCGAGATTATAAAGTTGGTCGTAATAACCTATTGTATAAAAGAATAAAACACAAAAGCATTAAAATATCTAGCGTCTTTTTAGAAAAACATTTTAAGAAATAGCTTCTAACTGACTAAAATCAATAAAAAACTTAATCCTTAACATGTTTAAAGTCTGGAACCAATCAGACATTGGTTCTACAACGCCCAACCTTATAACCAAAATTACGAGGATTGTAAAATCATAAAGGCTTTTTAGCAGATCGAGAAAGCCTCAAAATGTAATTTTATATACATTGTGACCGAAAAGTTTTCGGAAATTCTCATTTAAAATTCGCGCGCTGTATATTTTTCGATATTTTAAGTTTATGTAGTTTGGCAAGCACTGTCCTTAATTACTATGCCAAAAATGAGCGCGATCTGTCGGACAGTTCGTTTACGGCAGCTGTTGAAACCAGTTCACCTCAGTAGTGCGTTGCGAAAAAAACAATGGAAAAAAATATTGAACAAAGAGTTTGCATCAAATTTTGTTTTTCGAACGAAATTTCGTGTGCAGAATCGTTGCGAATGCTACAAAAGGCTTATGGGGAATCAGTTTTATCGAAAACTCAAGTTTATGAGTGGTACAAAGCCTTTCAGGACTGTCGTACGACCGTCGAAGACATGCCGCGTTCTGGACGACCTTCGACCTCTACCACCGACGAAAACATTGAAAAGGCAAAGGAAATCGTGTTCAAAAATCCTCATGTGAGTGTTAGAGAGATAGCACGAGAGCTAGGCATCGGTCGTGAGATGGCTCGTTTGATTTTGGTGGACAATTTGTGTATGCGACGTGTCAACGCCCGGCTTGTTCCGATTCACCTCAATTTGTTCAACATTATCAACGATTTTAAGGCCAAACATTCAATAAATACCATCGAACAGCCACCGTATTCACCTGATCTTGCACCGTGTGACTTTTTCCTGTTTCCCAACCTCAAATTACCACTCAGAGGAACGCGTTTTGAATCCATAGAAGACGTAAAACAGAATTCGCAGAGGGAACTCAAAGCCATACCGGAAAGCGCCTATAAAAAATGTTTTGATGATTGGAAGAAACGTTGGCATTTGTGTTATCGCTTCTAATGGAGCATATTTTGAAGGAGATAAAATAAATATTGATGAAGATTAAGAATTTTGCGTTTTATTTAAAATTTCCGGAAACTTTTCGGTCACAATGTACGTATTAGTATATGCAATTATTTTTTTTAATTTAAAATAAAAATAATTTTACCCACCATCATATATGCTATATAAAAATAGCGCATTTAAATAACTATGTTTACATATCTATTATGTTAACCAAATATTATTTACCTACGGTTATTTCATTAGTTTTGTATTCCTAAAAGTTATTTTAGTATATATAGCAATATATTTTTTTTATTTAAATAAATTCTTTTATACAATTTATTTACTTATTCATTAATTTCTTATAATTATAATAAAAATATTGTCTTGAGAAAAAACTTTGTTACCACAAATTCATTTGATTATAATATGCTACCAATTACCATAATTAATATAAAGGTGCAAGCAAAGTAAAAGTAAATTGCAATTTTTATTTAAATTTTACATATCTAACTTAATTTTCTCACTATATTACAATATTTCGTTGTATCGATTCATATTTGTAAAATTACAAAATACTAACAGAATTAAATATTAAACAATAAATAAACTTGTTTACACCCAACAACGTAATATTTTTTACTGTAAATTAACTCTTAACTACTCTACTGCATGACAGTTTTTTCATTTCTTTAATTAATGCTTGCTTGTTAATTTATTTGTAACTTACTCATATATATATTTTTAATAACATTATATAGGTATTAAAATATTAACTATGTTAATTTTTTACAGCCTCCTCCTTTATACATCATTACGCCTACATACCGCCGTCCGGAACAATTAGCTGAGTTAACACGTCTCGGCTACACACTAAAGCATATTACCAACTTACTATGGTTAGTAATCGAAGACGCCAATCAAACATCACCATTAGTACAACACACACTAAATCGTATTGGAGTCCCTTATATATACCTGATAGGTAAATACATTTCTTATTTTACTAAATAAAATTAAGAAATAATATAATTATATATAATTATTCAAAAACATAATTATCACACCATTTAAAATTTTAAAAGTATATTAAAAAATAACTTATGTTCAGCCCAGAAAATTCATTTTTATAGTAAAATTCCTTCACTATTTATCACTTTATAGAGATACATTTATTATTCAAAATATATAGATACATTGTTCTCGAATATAAAATTCAAGAAAAACAATTCTTTTTATTTTATTATTTTGAAAAATAATAATACTTTTATTTTTATTTTAATACCTTTACATCACATTAATAATTTTAGTACTTTAGTACTGGAAGTTGTACTCTATATATAACGATTATATATGGCAATCACACATATTTAGCACATTTATCACATTATAAAATATATAAACTGTCTCTATTTAAACTGTTACGGACAAAGTTCTCAAAAACAGTAAATTTCAAAATTAATTTGAAATTAAACAATAATAATTCAAAAATCAAATACAGGAGTTCAGGTAGGGCGCAGTAGACTGAATCAAATAATTACTTAATAAAACAGAGAATTCATTGTAATGGAATTTATAGATTTTATAGGGTACAGAATAAAATTGCAAAACACGTGCTAGAAGCTTGACCGGCACTCTTCCATAAACAAACTAAACTGCTGGTAGAGTTAAACGTTATATTAATTATACAACGTACTAATTAATCAGCTATGGAAAACACAAATTATTGTTTTTAAATTTTTTTAATAGAAAAATATTCCGATATTTTGATTTCTTTCGATATTTATTACTAAGAGGGTGATGTGGCACTGCGACCATCGGGTCTATTATGTCCGATTAGATCAGTCTCTAAACTCTGTTAGGTCAATAATAAGTAGTATTGAGCTTACTTTACAGAGTTTTATCGCCTTTTCCGTAAGTTTTCACATTTCCAAGAAAGAGGAGGGTACTGTGTCCTAGTCAACAGAAAGATTCAAGCTTTATGACCGATGTCGCTGCTCCTTTCCTGACTGGTCTGAGTATTCATTCACATATGCCAGTATGTCCCGGTATACACAGAATCGACACCTGATTTAATTCGCCGGTTTAGCTTTTCAAGGAACTAGCGAAATATAACATTATGAAATTATAAACACATGTTATGTATGTATAATAACAAACAAAAAAGAAATAAAAATGTAAGGGAAATAAAAAAAAACAGTGACAACGAAAATACATACATTAAGACTGAAAAGTTTTCGGAAATTCTCATTTAAAATTCGCGCGCTGTATATTTTTCGATATTTTAAGTTTATGTAGTTTGGCAGCACTGTCCTTAATTACTATGCCAAAAATGAGCTCGATCTGTCAGACAGTTCGTTTACGGCAGCTGTTGAAACCAGTTCACCTCAGTAGTGCGTTGCGAAATGTCTTCGACGGTCGTACGACCGTCCTGGAAGGCTTTGTACCACTCATAAACTTGAGTTTTCGATAAAACTGATTCCCCATAAGCCTTTTGTAGCATTCGCAACGATTCTGCACACGAAATTTCGTTCGAAACACAAAATTTGATGCAAACTCTTTGTTCAATATTTTTTTCCATTGTTTTTTTCGCAACGCCCTACTGAGGTGAACTGGTTTCAACAGCTGCCGTAAACGAACTGTCTGACAGATCGCGCTCATTTTTGGCATAGTAATTAAGGACAGTGCTGCCAAACTACATAAACTTAAAATATCGGAAAATATACAGCGCGCGAATTTTAAATGAGAATTTCCGAAAGCTTTTCGGTC